CACCTCCTTGTGGCCTCGGCAATTCCTATTCCCCCTGAACGATGCACGTTAACTGGGCCTCAAACGACAGCAATTATTCCTCATATGTTATAATCTATCCACATTCCGATTAGTGACATAACCGTCCACCGGTCTGCTCCTCAGTCTGGACATGTCCCTAAACCGGGCGTCCCAGACACTATTGGCATGCACCGCAGCCTCCACTGTACCACCTCACACCACCCAACACTCGGAAAAAAAAGGAAAACCTCTAACGTGAAATAAAAAAAAACACCTCTACATTCACTTTCGCCTCCTGATTTTGCGCGTCCCGGTTTACAATGCAACTGTGTATATCGACATCGAGGGGGAATAAATCGACATCGATAACGGGTAGACACACTGGGACGTTGCAGATATTATGCTGCCAGCATTTTCCCGACGTCTCTCGATTACTTTTTCCCTTCCTCTTTTTACTCTCTCTCTCTCTCTTTCTCTCTCTCTCACTCTGTTTACAGGAGAGCACTTTTTACCTCGACTTTTATCGAGCCCCACTATTTCGCGAAACACGCACACGACACCCCACGCACGAAACTCATTCACTTACTCCTTCAATAAGCTGATGAACTTGGTGTTATCATACTTGAACTAAAAATAATTGAGGGAAACAAAATGGGTAACCGGCACTCACTGACTTTATCTGTGCGGCATCTGGAATCCTTTGGCGCTCGTTTTCTTCCTCGAAATCGTAGCTCGAGGCACAATTATCCGCGTCGCGGAGTAATAATTTGGGGAAATAAACGGTGAAATGAATATGAGAAAATTAATTCCCTGGCTATTTAAGGGCACGATTTATGAGCGGATTACGAGTAATAAGACACTGGTAGGGTAGAGGGTGATCTGTCAAATCGCGGGCACGTAACCGTGGAATATAATGGACAAAAGCGGACTCTCCGGTTGGAACGTCACGTGCGTACTGACACGAATGCCGAGCGTTGGAGCAACCGATGGACCTACACTTGGGTTTACGGCTCGGGGAAATTCACGGGAAAAGCCGAAGCGCGGTTCGAGAGACGACTGTAGCGTCTCAATGGTGAGTGTGTGGCCGAGTCAATGCTCTGATGGTAATGGGGATTTCTACGTTATTCGGCGGGGCTCTTTATCCTGCGAGTCGGGGGATCGATTAACCGTTTTCGGGGATTTTATTGTTTCAGAGGGGTGCGTTTTTTGGGGATCGCAGCGGTGCGGGTTGAACTGTTTAACAATTTAGCGCAGTTGTCAACTGGGACGTTGTTGGGTGAGTGACAAGACCTTGAACTGTTTTTAATTAGCTCGGGAGGGATAAGGCTGGATATCCAAGGACTTCGGGTTTTTTTCTTCGATAATCTTTGTGAAATTTTATTCTGATTTCCAAGTTGAATTGTTGGGGAAGATTTCAACAATGTGGGAACAGTTTGGAGATTCCAGCCTTCGAGGCGGATTCATTGAAGAATGGAAAAGTTATTAGATAGCTGTTACACTCAGAAAAATCGCTAATTTGGTTAAGGGGCCCAGGGAACTATTTTTAAGGATGCCATCTAAAAGTCCCCAGCAAGACCGGTGAATTGTTAGCTGAGTAACCGTTTCCTCGAAATTTTGAAACAAATTTCCTGCTCAAAGTTATCGATATTTTTTTAACCCGAAGCCCATTGATCTTTATCATCGCTTTCTGGAGATTAATGTGCTTTGATTTGTAAAAATATCAATAATTTTCAGCATTCAATAACTGTCCATAGTTGTAATTCAATTCTAAACATAATACTGTTAGAAAAAAAATTGGAATTTCAGGGACTGTTGACTAGTAATTGATTTAAGGGGAAAAATCATAAAATTTCAGGTTTCACTGAAAATTCAACGAAATTTCAAGTTTCTGAACAGCACTGAGAGAAGAATTCCTCAACCTATTCAAATTTTCAGTGAAATCATGAATATTTAATGTCCAACTACGATTAATTTTCCATCAATTGAAAATTCAATATGTTTACCGAAATTTTCCCGATCTCTACTAATTTTCACAATAATTCAGAATAATTTTTAAAATAATTGAACTGAAATTCACAGTCCCCATTAATTTTTCTGTGAAATTGTGAATTTTTAATTACAAAATTCCTTGAAACGTCAATGGAACTGGAATGCGATAATAATTTCCAAGAAGTGTACCGAAAATTTCGGCCAAAAAATTTTAACAATCAAGGGGTTGTAGCTCTCCAAAAAAAAAAGTTGTTGAAGAATAATTCATTTCTCTTTTTTTTTTAATACAAACGAATTTTGTCTTGATCCAACTGAAGAATTTATTGAGTTAGAAATGAAATAATTGTCTCGACGGTGAAGAGAAGAAAATTATCATCGTCTACTACTCCTTTATTTGATCTAAATAAATCGCTCATTTAATGCTAATAAAGCATTTATTATGAATGAATGAGTCATTCATTCATTTCCAATAAAAATATTCCTGGAAATTTATTTTCATTTTTTCTCTCACAATGAAATTTCCAATGAAATTCTCAAATATGATGAAATGTCCAAATCCATAGTATAATTTAGTACATCACAACCCCGTGAATGGCACTTGAATCACCTTAAATTTCCCCCCGAATTCGATATTGAAATTGAGGGGCCGTACCAGGATATTCGATGTCCACCAATAAATTCATATACGTCCTAATATCCCCTGGATATATATAACTCCTAGTGCAGGCTGGAAAAGCATATCCGATGAGTTGTCGCTAAAGGCTGTAAATTGGCATCTACACCAAAACCAGTGGGAATTATTCACATCGGATTTAATCGACTTCCGCTTGTATCCAATGAAAGTCAATAAGTCGATAAATATTCGTGGAGGTTGTGTGCCCTGGGCAGAGCAAAAGAATCCACTGGCCTCGGTGAATTCGATGATATATGAGAGAGAAACCTCCCACATTTTCCCTACCTCGTTTTTTTTACATCGTGTGTGTACAGGTACCCATAGGTCGGAGGGAGTATTATTATTTTTTATTGCTTTTTATAACGATATAGTGGTAAAGATGAAGAGCCCTGCGAATACATGGGACGTTAAATGCGAGTTTTCTTTATTCCCTTTTCATGTTTTTTTTTCGTTCTTCTGATGGAAAAAATGAAAATTGCAAAAATTTTTTCTTTTGTGAGGTGAAATGTAATTTATTGAGCAGTCTTTCAACAATGTGGTAAAATAGTATTCTGTCGTGTTAGAGGGAGTGAATTTCTTAATGAAAATTGTCCTGAAGGAATGGGCAAAAATCACCTAAAAATATAATCGTCAGCACGGAAAAAAAAGTTGGAAAAAAATAAACAAACAAGTCATGTAATCGTGGAGTGGAATCCATTTCCAGGCCTTTTTTACGCTATATCGGGCCAAAAAATGTGAGATAATAGTCCATTTTTCTCCGATCACTTGAGGAAACTTACTAAACGTGAGAATAATTTGTGCCAAACATGGAAAATTTACCATTCATGCTATCAAAAATTATAATTCACATATGTGAAGGAATTTGTTTGTGTAAAATTTCACTTTCGTCCGTCCTCGTGTCCTTTACATCGGAGCCAGAATAAAATACCCTACCACTTAGAAAATTTTCCTGTACAGGGAACAATAAATTTTGCATCCATGGATGTATTTTTTTCATCACACGAATAGTACGATTTCCTTCGCAAAAGGTATTTTTGCGAACGAAAATTTGCCACGATGTCCTAGTACTTTTCACTCAACTTTTCTCTTCGTGTGACAGAACGGAAATGTGATTCAAAACTCACCGGAAACCCATTTCGCTACATGACACTTTTAGAATTTTTAAGTCGAAATTTCCGCTGTTTTTTACGATTTAGTCGGAAGTTTCACTACGACTGCTCGCGCAACATGACTCGTTTACTATTAATTCGTTTACAATTCTCAAACCAGGTTAATAATATATGAATCATTCTATCGATCCAAATATACACTCTGACCAAATATGGAGCGCTCTATTCAATTTTTAAAGAATGCCGTCATTTGGAAATTTACAATTTGATTAAAAAAATTAAGGGCAATTAATTTTTGAATTGTCAATTAATAATTGAAAACGCACCGTAATTTGATGCTGACTATTCATATTGTAATTGAAAATTCATGTAAGAATTATAATTCTTGTTTTCCCGCTGCTTAAAAACGCAGAATTTCGCGGAAATTTCGGTGAAATTCGAACTTATATAATTGCCCTCCCCCCCCAAATTGAATCGCTCTCCTGAAAATTACTCCTAAACTTTCCCTGAAATTAATTATATACCAACAGTGTACGCTTCAGGCTAGTTTTCGATACATTTTTCTCTTCGTGTACGGTTTTTAACAATCCATCTAATTAAAAAAAAACAAGAATAACAAAAATTATTCTTTTCACGATGTGGAGCATGTATTAAAAATTCCACAATGTAGTAGAATACTATTTCTCATGTCAAAAATGTGAATCCAGTCGGACGAAGAGAGCTCTCGAGCTTGCGTCTAATTTTCAATGAAATACCGTTGAAACTTTCTCCCCTCATTGACGATGAAAAGAGGTGGGTGAGAAAACGAAAATTGTATAGAATAGTGTTGCAGCAGAGAATGGAATAAGTTCTGCTGCCTGTCAAATCATAATTTCATTCGCGGCGGTAATAACAACCGAGCGGCGTCAGGGGCCCGGAAGCAGAGGAGAATAGACGGTTGGCGAAAAGGGTGGTAGAGGGATTGAAAGAAGACGGTGAAAGCGAACGATGGTAGAGGGAAGTGGAAGAAGGGTCTGTGTGGTCTTCCAAGTGGAGAGGATTTATCGAAGGCGAAACGTCGATGCATTAACGCAAACGGGAAGAGGCGCGGCCCAAGAGAAGTGAACTAACGAAGGAAACGGTTCTCAACTGGTGAAGAAGCCCTTCCTGCTATTCTCTCGAGTGCCGAAATCCTCCTCTCAATTGCCGGAGAACTAAAACCATCTTGAGATGAAATTAAAGTTATCTCATTACTTAAAAATCAACATTTATTCCATTGTCACGAGTACAAACACAATTAACAATAAATTTATAATCAAAATAATGATCAACTGCAGATTAAAAGAACAAACACTGACAATGAGGAAATTCATTTATTAAATAAAAACAGATGAAAAAAATGGCCGTGGGTAGCCATCCGTGAAGTCGAAGCCTTTATTAGCCTGATGCTCTCCTCCCCGCCCCCCCCCTCCCCTTCCCTTGGCCCTCTGTACGTGCAACGAATCAATTGAAGATCCGCAGAAGACGCGCGTACCGATCAGAGAGAAAGGAAAGGCTGTAGTGAGAAAGAAAATTTTCTCCCTTGAATTGAGATAAGAAGCACGAGACTTTACGGATAGGGAATACGTTGCGCCCTGAAGCCACCCATCGGTCTTACTTTCCTCACTACCACCCAACCAATCCCCACCATCCATTGGGCTGGTTGGGTATGGTGGGAGGAATGAATGGGATGGGGGTTTAAAAAAAATTGCCAACTTAGATCCCAAGGATCAGGGGTGATAATTTCCGTGCCTCTTCTCTGGGATTTTTCAAGTTTAAAATGAATAAAAAAATCGATTCACAGAGATAACGTTTTTCAACTGCAACTATCGGTGACTGGTCATGCGTTAAATTAAATAAGATTTACGGAGAGGTATTTCGTGGAGTTTTTTCCCAACCAGGGAAAGATTGAGAATGAATTGGAAAGTGAAGGAGGGAATGTACCTAGTGGCTAAATGCTGGAAAATAATTTAATTCAGTGAGACTGCTGCTTTCACTGTGCGCACCCCAGTGCCTTTGATATTCCGACAACTGTGGACATTTCAATCGTCCTTCGATTCACGCAGATTTATCATTATTTTGGGAGGAAGGGGGGTCTGAGCATTGACAAGTCTTCTTGCTTTTGAACACAGAGATGAATTAAGTGTGATTGGATTAATTCCTCAGTTCGCAGGTAATTTGGCCTTTATGCGCTTGACCATTCGTAGGACAAACTCCTGTAGCAAGGGTTGTCTCATCTTTCCAACGTCCATCACCTCCTCGTGATTGACCTCGTCGTGGCAGTCATCGTCGATTACACATTGATTCGTAATTAGACTGAAGGCAAAGACTTGGAGGTCACAGTGGCGCGCTGTGATGACCTCGTGGACAGTTGACATGCCTGAATTGTGACAGATTGATGTAGATTGTGTAGCTGATGGCTACTGATATTGATGGGGTTGATAATATGTTTACTCACCAACAGCATCCACGCCAACCATACTCAACATCTTGAGTTCAGCAACAGTCTCGAAATTGGGTCCTCCTAGACAAGTATACACACCTCTATGTACAATATCGGAAATACCCATCTCGCCAGCAACTTCTGAACCAATCTCCAGGAGTTCCTTGTTGTAAGCTCTGTTCATGGGTGGAAATCTCGGTCCAAACCTGTTTGTAGAACAACAATGCATTAATCCTTTTGAAAATCTCGGGAGAATTTGTATTTGAGGATATTCAAGTAACTTTTGGGTGGGTGTAGAGGGGACTATACACTAAGAGAAAAATCGATATATCACAAAAATCATTTCTTGAGCGAAAAACATCGCATACATATTTGATCAATTTACGGTAGGTTTCAGACAAGAAATCGGGGCTCTTCGGGGTAAGGAGGAAGTTACTGAATGAAAAGGTGATGTCTTTTTCCGAAATGAGATAATATTCCTTAAAAGACAAGAATAGTTTCACAGAAGGGAAGGAAATTACACCCGGTGGCCTGGCGTAGTGGTTAAGGCCGTTGCCTCACAACGGATAGGTTCCAGGTTCGATTCCTGGCCGGGTAGAATGGTGAGATCTAACCATTTTTAAAGTNACTGAATGAAAAGGTGATGTCTTTTTTCGAAATGAGATAATATTCCTTAAAAGACAAGAATAGTTTCACAGAAGGGAAGGAAGATATTGCTTCCCTTCGAACTCAAAGCTATTGAGCGTAAACGACGGTTATATTTTTTTAATATCTGGAGGTTTTCTTCTGCGTAAAATCTCTATTCATTTAATATGAAAGTCTCTGATTCATGATTCACTGAATCGAAGTTTTTAATATTTTTAGTCATTGTCTCATCTCCTGACACGAAAAAACCGATTTCTTGTGGCAAAAAATTTTCACTTCAGCATGAAATGTTCATGTTCAAGTCATGAATACTTCACCGAAATCTGACACATCCAGAATTCTTATCCCAAGAAATTTATCCTCAAGAGATGAGATATTTGGCGCAAGAAATTAGTTTTGTGATATTATGACGCTATTATTATGACGCTCTCAGTGTAGATGCAATCACTTTTAATCATAAAATTTCATTTTTACTTTAGAAAATTACATTTTCTAAATAATAATTTTTTTCAACTGCCCCTTCTGGTGAATAATTTTTAATCATTGAATACAGTTTTTGGTAAAATTGTGAATGTGAATACATTTGCTACGATTCAGATAATTTTTAGAGTTGCAACTTCCTCGAAAAACGCATTAACATACATTTTTTGTAATGATATACTCATTATTTTGACACTTTTACAAACACATTTGTCTACAGAGTCAATTACGTTCAATTGAATTTAACCTTAGTCTGTTCACCAAACGTGACCCTGCGGCCGGGTCACCTCCGCGGGAATTCGCCGTCGTGTTATTTAGGCTTTAGCGCTGCCGAATTCACTCCACACTGCCCGGGCGCATTTAGCGAATTTCCGGCAACGTCGCGTCATGTGTAATTTCATTCAATATGGAAAAAAATAATTCATCTCTCCGGAATAATTTGTTTTCTTTAGAAATTTAGGGAAATATTTTGTTCTAAAAAGTAATATAATTTTTTAGTCACTTCAATTAGAAAGTCAATTTTTTTTAATTTTTCCGATTAGCCAGTCAATCGTAATTTTAAAAAAACGACGCGCGGCGGGGTTTCCCTTCTAGGGCGACCAATCTAGGGTTAGGTAACAGCAGTATTGTTCCCCAAAATATACAGCGAATAAGTAAACCTGAGACAGTATTTTTATTGCTCCAAAATTGTCTTCAGGCTTCAGATTGAACTTTAATGATCCACGTTATCCTCCACAATAACTGAACTCAACAAAAGACAATCCCAGGAAAAAAATAAAGGTAATTTCGAGGACCAAGGGGACAGTTTATTGGAGTTCGGAAGGATCTCAAGTCCATTAATATCGGGGGTAGTGACAAAAGAACAACAGAGAAAGAGAGAGAGAAAATCGGAACTTGTATCTCGTCGGAAGAGCCCGACGTGCAAGTGAGGGAAGTGAAAGACCAGTGGGATGAGACAGCCCTGACGAGTTTCGCAAAATAAATATGTCGATCATCTCTCTTCCCCCTCCCCCTCTTTCCGAGCAAACATCTCATCAGTCCAATTGTAAAGTTCATTGAAATGAAATAAAACCGAGTTCTCATTCACCTGCATTTTTCCGATATTGGCAGGCACTCATGAATAGAGAATTGTGAAATAGGTGGAGAAGAGCAAAACGTTGAAATGGTGTAATAAACTATTTACTCTGGTATACCTATCATCGTTGGGTCCCTGAAGTGGATTGTTGCCGGCAAATCCCATCATGTTTACGTGATCCCTCACCATCATGATGTCACCAACCTTGTATTTGGGATTGAGGCCACCAGCGGCATTTGTTGCTATAAGATGGCTCACACCCACCAGTTTCATCACTCTTACTGGCATAGAGCACTGAAATACAGGGCAAAAAAAAAATCAACGATGATACGAGTATGTTCAGAAACATTATTCATGATTTTTGCTCGTGGATGTCAAGGGATCTGGCTGGGTATTTATCGTTGACCCTCTTCCCCATGCATAGAAGGAGCGCAGTGTAAGGATAACGGGAGAGAGACAAGTAAATGGATAGGAGGAACTGCATGGGCACTTGAAAACTTGGGGGACAGAAAGATTGGGGTAATCGACACTCCTTGAGCCTCGATATCGGCCAAATTTTTGGAAGGAATAGGTTCATCGATTGGGGCGATGGAGCCCACATCCTTAGAATGCCGGCTTATTACGAGTCTTGCTCGTTATGATAATTATTTATTAATTGATATACGCGCTACGGGACCAGCGCATGGCGGGGGTGGGCCGGCTTAGCTTTGGGAAGCTAAGCAGCGCTGCGCGTGATCGCTAGAAGGATGGGTGGATTTTTCGAAAGCTGGAAGAAGCAGTAGGAATTAATACGCTGCTGGAAAAGTGAAAATCCGTAAGAAACCGAAAGGTATACGGCAATGGAAAAGGAGAATATTAATTGATACAAATTCTTTGAGTACAGGGGTTAATAAACGACTGGAAGATTACAAAAAATTGACGGACGCAATGTGAAAATGTCAGAATTTACATGGCCAGTGATAAGAGAATATACTGTCAGAACAAAAATTGAAATTGAAATTAAAAAATTGAAGAGTAGCATTAAATTCATTGAAAAATTTCCAAATTTCAATGAAATTCTGAATTTTTGAGCAGCAGAAAGACGAGGTTTCCTCACCTTACTTGAATATTTATTCAAAATATTATTATTAAATATGAAATTATGCTGGATTCTCAATTAATTTTAAATCAGAAAATATATTCACCCTAATTTTTCTGATTTTAATTAATTTCCATGGAATAATTGAGCTGAAATTTAGTTTGAAAATTCCTTGAAATTTCATGGAAGATAATATAGTAAATCTCATGAAAGTGACATCGAATCGGATTTTATAGGGAAAAAATGGTTATGGAATTTCAAGTTTCAGGTAGAATTCACGGAAATTCATCACAACTCATTTCACAACTTGATTGAATTTTCAGTGGAACATGAATATTCAGAAGAAATGTGATATAAATTTTCAATTTTTTCCTGAATTTTCTGAATAATTGAACTGAAAAATCAAGTATTTGATTAATTACCAGATCATTTGAACAGAAAATCGATGGAATATTTGATTTTTCAATGACAAGATTTCCTGAAATCGCAGTGGAACTTGAATACGATACAAATTTCCGGAATTTGGCACGGAAAATTCAGATGAAAATTTTATAAGTCCAAGTGATTTTGTAGTTTTCAAATATTAAACGAGGTATTGAAACCACTATAAAAATCTCGTTTTTGCTGCTGCTTCCGATGAAATTTAGATCCTTTCAAATCATCCACTATTACCCACCATTTATTATAAAAATAGATTAATCAAATACTGCTTGAGGGGAATCAACGGTACTACAAATATTTTCATAAACATTATTCATGATGTTTACTCACGACTGTCAAGGGATCCCGCTTGATGCTTATCGTACCCTCTTCCTCGTGCATGGTAGGAGTGCAATATAAGAATAACAGAAGAGACGAACGAAAATGGATAAGAGGAGTTTACATGGACACTTGAAGAGGACAGAGAGATTGGGGTTTGCTGCAAAAATGTGAGCTTTACCTTCCACAGTGGATAGCCCTCATAGTAGTGGAATCTCCCCTGCATACACATCACTGGAACGTCCTCGAGATATCCGAATACCAGTTGACCCACGTGACCTTTGACCGTAGACGATGGAAAATGTGGTATCTCCTCGTAGGGAAATGTCTTTATATCCGTCAGTGAATCGGCAATTGAACCTGGACACAACTCACTCTGTTCAGATACCCCTGCTTATGACAGAGAAAACGACATAATGACAAAATATAGGGCGCGTTAAAATTCATCAACTACACTGTTAGAAATTTCTTTAAATTTAATTTTTCCTAAATTTTCTATTTTTTTTTGAGGGAAGAATTTTCATTAATTTTCCAATGTTGATAATTATTCAGGGAGTTCACTCTAGGTCATAACTAACATCATCATCTTCTACAGCAATATAATTATCATAATTGAAACCTAATGAGGATTGCCTCAGAAATCTAGTATTGAAAGAAAAAATAAATACTTCTCTCAAGTAAATGAATATTTTGCAGAAATAATTTTCTTTCTCAGTGTAATGGCTTGAAATGGTAAAATTTATTCGCAATTCCATCAAAAATTAGCAGCGAACGTCAATGATTGCTCAATGTCTATAATTAACCGTAAAATATCCTCTACAAATACTCTTTATTGAAAAAGAGTGCGCTTCACGATTGATTACTTTTCATACAGTAGAATGTGATGGAATATTATTCGATAATTTTTTTTCTCCGCGTGTATATGCAAATCATAACCGCGGACTATTACTCGAGTGCACATTACTTTATTGGTTTTCTTGTGGATATTTTCCGGCGGTTCAGTAATTTTTCCAATATCAATGAAACTTTTTATTTACGTAAGGTTTTATTGAATGAGAAAAAAGGAGGGCGAGATATGCAATATCGAGTTTATTGCATCCTGAGGCTTTTCATGATACCAATTACGGATTCGAAGTTGAATGAGAGATAGATTTTATCCAGACGTACAGTATAGTAGTGATTGGGTGAATAACATGGGAATTGAACATCATTACGGTTTGTGTACGGGAGTAGCGCATTGTCTCGTTGACTTTTGTTGCAGGAAGTCGTCCCCTATTGTGTATTGTTCAGCCACCGCGATTGAAAATTTTGGCATTAGCTCATAATCAGAAAAACGGGGCATTACGATTGATAGCACCGAATAAATGGAGAAAAGCGATTCATCGGGGGAATATTTATTTATTGAAAATATCGTTTTCAACGCAGAGGAAAAAAGGTTCTTGTTCCCTGTAGAAAGATTTTAATATTCGAACGCAGTTGCGATGAAATGTAGCAAGCAAACAATCCTGGGAAGATGTAAAATTTGCACTTGTCGCGGGGAAATTTTTGTTTGAATATAGGATAATTACAAAAAAACTATATTTTCCGTTATTTCAAGGAAATCCTGGTTTTCAAATGAATTTATTCATGTTTCATTCATATTTCAAAATATCTTTGAAGTTTATAATTATAACTTCATGTAATTTATAACTTCTTCGTTATGAGAAGCATATAATCTGCAACGAATCTTGTTAAACATAAAAATAATAATTTTCAGAGTGCGAAATTAATTGCTTATAAATCACTCCTGAAGTAGCTATTCTTCAATTATTTTATACATCTTCCACCAATAAAATCATTGCAAATGAATAAACGCTCCAATTTCAAAAAAAGGTAAAAAATCGGTAAATATCCTTGATTCAAGACAATGACCCTCAATTCAAAGCAATAATTCCATCTCTACCGGCTTTATGACTCCTTCATTGTTAACAGTACATAATTTGTCACCTTCGACAAATTCATTACGATTTTGACAAATAATTTTCAGAATGCGAAATTCATTGCTTGTAAATCACTCATGAAGTCGCTGCTCTTCAATTATTTTATAAATCTCAAAAGATAGTCTTCCTAATATTTTGAAATTTCTCAAATGTTGAAACGGTTCAAACTATTAAATCAAATCTAAATCTTTGAATTCTGCGCAATAAAATCATTCCGAATGAATAAAAGTTAATTTCAAGATAAACTGCAAAATCCTTCAATATCCTTCATGCAAGAAAATGATGCCTAATTCAAAGCAATTGCTTCCTGCGGATTATTACCCAAAAAGACACATACCCATTCCAGATCCACAAATGATTCCAATCTTCGGCCTGATGCTCACACGGTCCAGTAGATACTGAGCAGACTCCAGCAGCATTTCAAAACTATACCTACAACAGACAAACGCAGAAAAAAAACCATCAACCAAAACCAAGACTGAAGAGCGTTCATTCAGAGTAAAATCCCACCGCATTGAGTCACCCGGTGTATTCTTCTCCATTTGAACAGCGAGTGACTACTGATTCTGACTATTTTCGCAAAACAATTGGCTTCGATTTTATGACTGAACGATCTCGCTGAATAGCTCTTTCACCGAAAACGGGTCACATGGTTTCCATGCAATTTTGCCAAACCCATAGTTGAAATGTCAGTGGTTAGACGACACACACATCTCCACTGTGCAGTGTAAAACAATGAAAATGTATTGGTGCGTGTTTCCGTACTTGAACGAGTAACACCGTTGTGACACTGTATCCTCATATTAGTGAATACCTCTGCCCGATATGAGAAAGCTTGCATGAGGTATATTCCCTATATTATCCACGATGCACTAGAACTCGGAGGAAACACATAAACGCGTAATGTTTCAAGTTGGTTGGTACACGTGTGAGTGTTAGAAATCGTTGGTACCCAGGAAACAAGCCAGATAGTGGCACAAGCGGAAGAAGGGCGCTCTGTGCCCCCTCGACAATATCAAGGTAAAGGAGGAGAGTAGTGTAACTGCGACTCCCCTCAAGCATTTCAATCCCACCTACGGCTTTAATCATCTTAAAAGGTTGCGTCTAAACAACTGTTTTCATTAGTTCAAGGTAGCACTTACTCTCATTGAATTTATTAGCTTCCTCGTGTCATTGACTCGTCGAAGTTAATTTCACTGATCCAACTGTTCATCCAATGTCAATTGAATTTACGGAGCTGTACTGGAAATAGTGAATATTCCTAGACGAATGACGCGTTTTATTCAAATAAAAGTATTCATTTGACATTTTTTTATTCATTTTTGAATAATTAATTAGTACTAAGAATTATTCAATTTTTTGTCTTCACCCGCGACGATAATTTCATTTTTAACTGATAAAGTGTTCATTTGAATCAGAAATATTTTATTTATAGTTCTAGCCATTGGTCCACTTCTACCACTTGCAGATTTCATCGTCTCGTCTGTTTTGATCGGCATTTTCCCCTAATTCAATTGTACGCGAATGCTTCGGACATTTTCCCGAATGTTTATACTCATATTTTTATTCTCTAATATTTATTGAACTAGGAAAACAGCGTCCGATTTCAATATTGAGAAAAATATATTATAGTAAACAACAGAATTTTTGTGGAAGATTTTATTTACAAGATGAACGATATTGTTTTCATAGGGAATGAACTTGGATATTTATAAAAAAAAATTACGATATATTTCTCTTGACACATCAGTACACATCATTTTCCTGTTTTACGACAACAAAACTTCCCCAATTCATGTATTCATTAAATTGGATCCCGCGAATTTACATTAAGCAACGTGTCAACAGAATTTACGGGGTAATATCGAGAGGTGAATGACTAGTGGATAAAAAAAATGTAACATCGAAATTTCGCCGGGAATAACTTATCATCAAATTAACAGAGGAGTCAAGGAGTTCTAAAGTCTAGTCATTGATTCACTTTTACCACTTGCATATTTCATCGTCTCGTTTGATTGCATCATCTTTTTCCCCTAATCCAGTCGTAACTGAACACCTTGAACTCTGTCAGTATTTACCGAGCTAGGAAAAAACGCCAGTGTTCAATTTTAAACAAAATTAATAAACAATAGAATTTTTGTACTAAGATTAAAGATATTGATTCATTTTTTTTTCTTTCATAGAAAATAAAACAGTAGTGAAGTGTTCAATCGGTTTAAATCAATTCCATTCTAGCTCCAGTTCTCGATGACTATCTCAAATTCTAAATGAGTCAGCAAAATTGTCCTAAAAATCTTTTTTGCAAAGAAAAGTGAAGACTATCGAAAAAGATTTTACAAAAATTTCGCTATCTTTTTTAAATTCCGAGTTATTCAACCAAAACTGAACTGGGAGCTAAGTTGACTTAAACCGATTGACCACTTCACTAATGAAATGTCTACATTCACAAACATTTTTCATGAAATATTACTCTTGACACATCATTCCATTCCCCTGTTTTACGACGACAAAACGTCCCCAATTCATCCACGAATTCCCATTAACCAACGTGTCAACAGAATTTACGGGGTAATACCGCGAGGTGAATGAATAGTGGATAAAAAAAGATATACATATAACACCGAAAATTCCGCCGCAAACCCCAAGAGCACTAGCCCGTAATTACCCTCCACGTATCAGCACGAAAAGTTCAACGAAGCGTTCATATATTAGCGATGAAGTAAATAACCCCATTATGTTGCGATGGAAAATAGAGTGATGCGTTGGTTAATTTTACAATAAACCATTAACCCATAATTATAATGTTGCAATGCATTGTTAGAGCCCTCTCGCTTGTTGATGCTCATGAATCACTGGTTTATATATTGACGACGGGGCTTTTGGTATATGATATATAAAATCAGCGATGGAGGGAGGGGTGGAGTTGCTAAAGGATCGACAGAGCGGGGTGGGCTTCAGGTACAAAATTAGTTATGTAGTGCTCGGGGAAACTTTGGCCCGGTGCTACGGTGGTATAGTCTTGCTATGGCCCAAATCCTCCGACGAGAAATATTAACTCCCTTTGCAGCCCTTTGGCAAACTCCAGCCGCCATTCCTTCTCCTCCTGCCACCAACCCCCCTCCACAACCGACGTTTTCCTTCATCGCCTTCTATGCAGTAGTCTGCTAACACCCCCGCCAACTCAGTCAACCAAAACTGAAGCATCAACTCCTCGACTTCTCATTCATCCTGTTTGCCCCCACCCCTTCGTCACCCCCGGGGAAAATTCGATTCAGTTAACAATAAGTGTTTAACGGTATCAACAGTTATTTTATAATGCAATTTATATAGAAGGTAGAGCTAATTAGTATTGGATTTCACTGCTGTAATTTGATCTTTAATAATGTTTATGCATTTCCTGAAAACTCAATTATTTCAAGCTTCCGGGAAATTCTGAGATATTTTGCAAATGAGAGGCCATTGTTTGGAAAAATAATTGCAGAAATAATTTGTAGGATTAGTTTCATACACCCATCAAAACTAGAATTCATATGAAAAATTATCGAAGAAGAAAGATTATTTTCATCACGCTGTGACGAAAAGTGAACTTTTCGGCACGCTCCGCGTGCCTAAAAGTCCAATTTCCGCCACATTGTGATGAAAAATATTGTTTGTAACTCGTGAAAAAATTTTTTTTAGCTCGTGAGATTATATCACTCACCTTCGGCTCGTGATATAAACCTCCCACTCGCCAAAAAACACTTTTTTGTATCGCAGTATTTTTGCCTTCAAATACTGCACGCCGCTTGAAAATAATCCGAATTTCAAAAAAGAGAACCCATTCTGAAGCAAATGTCCAATTTATTAGCAGCAATTACTGCACTCATTTATAAAAAAAATGCCATTGTGTTAATATACGGAGAGAAATTTTTGATATAAATTATCCTACCGTTCTATAAAAGTGTATCATGTCATCGTTTCCTCATTTCCATCCTGAAATTTACTAAAAATTAATATATGATGATCAAATTTTATTCTACGTTAGAGAAGTGTTATCTTGATAAAAATAAAAATTACCGTGCCGGTAGAATAAAAATTACTGTACCGGTAGGGTAAAATTTACCAACCGTTCTAGAATTTTCATTGTTATCTACATAAAAATTATTGGACTGGAAGGGTAAAATTTATTATGCGTCAGGATAAAATTTCTCTAACGTAGAATGAAACTTTGATCATCATATATTAATTTTTACTAAATTTCGGGATAGAAACAAGGAAACGATGACTCAAAAATTTCTCTCCGTGTACGATATCGATCTCCGCATCTATCAATCCGATAAATTGCCACATTTATTTAAATTAGAAACCACAAAATATTTGGCTTGTAGTTTGGACTATTACGAAAACCCCAGTTATTTCCTAATGCACGTAAACTGTATCAATAACTGAGAGCGTAATTAATATTGTACATAACTGTTGGGATAATCTGTATCGCCAATTATTGTATTTACGCGTCAGTGGATTTATGTTATTGCAATTGTGCGGTTCTCCGTGAATTTTCCGATAATCATTCGTTGACTGGAAATTCAAAGTTTTTATGGTACGGGGCTAACAAACCCTTTCTGCACTCCACAGTAAATAATTATTCCTCTGGGCTCAGGGAGGGAGGGTTATTGCCCTGGAACAATTGAAATTACGTAAACAAGAATAATTTTCATATTCCAATGAAAATTTTCGGAGTGCATTGTTCCGTAATGGCATTATCGTTTGTCAACCGTGCTCGGGATGTTGTTACATTGACACGGATTAACGGTACACGAGTATCACGTTATCACGGTCAGACATTTGTGTTATCGGTGGAAGACGTCAATCATTGGGGGACAGTTTCTTAAACCGAGTGGTGTAATTCATCTCACTGATGTGTTTGCTGGATTATTATCTCGAATGTTGCGGTGGTACTGTTCCACTGGATGATAGATTAAAATTGCACAATATGTGGCATATATAATGAAGGAGTAAAACTGCGGCAGATATTGGTTGCAGTGGATGGTTTGGAAGTTTTATACTGAGTACACAAGGCATTTACGCAGAGAAAACATTTTTCTCAAGTGATGAATGACATCCAGAGAGTCCTTTCATATTTCAATACATTGAAAAGTTTTGTTTTGATATCTTAGGAACTACGAAGGCAAAATAACTTTAGTATGTCATTCGTTCTCATGTTGAGGATAAATGTCACATGATTAGTGTTCCATTAAGGACACTAATCATGTGACAATTAAACGTGATGTGTAATAAAACGATTAAAATTGTTTGATTTCCCTTCATAATTAAATACACTGATTTTTTTTACATCTTCGGAACTTCGGAGGCAAAATAAATTTATCATACCACTTATTCTAAAATTTAGGGTAAATGTCACATGATTAGTGTTCCATTAAGAAAACTCATTATTCTGCATTCGAAAACATTAATATTGAGCATAAAATATAAAGATAAATATGGGGGAATTTAATATATTTTTAATGTAATTATTCTCCACTCATGAACGCTGATGGTGAATTACAAATTTCATTTCCTCCGTTCACATGAAACAAAAATATCAAAATTATGAAATTTAATGCATTATTTGCTTTTCTCGTTTCATCGATTTAATTTCAAAGCGACGGGGACAAATTCCGCTGTACCTCCTACGAGTAAGCGTGGATGTAATATAACATTGTAACACACGCGTGGCATTCTATTACATTGCCTCGTGCATAATGCAATTTAAAAAAAGTTCTTCCCCTCCTCCTGCATGCCATGAAACTTGTATCTCACGGGTTGTATAGCTAGTTTCACCTACATCAACTTGGTGTTCTGTCCACTCCCTCTACCCCCTGCGCCCCCCCCCCCCCCCCCCCCCCC